ATGTTTATTGTTTAAACATGTCTGTGAAAGACTGTATTACTGTACTGTGTAAAAAAAGAATTGCAATGCTGATAAAGCATTTTCAGTGACAATGTTTGGATTTGAAATCAAAACAATGGATAAATGTTGTGTTTGTGGTAAACACGGATCAGCAGCGGTCTCCTGTGTGAAAGCTGCTTCTCTCACAAGAGACAGCTAAGAGGGGAATTCCCCCCATTTTCAAAAATGAAATTCAGGCCCTGAATAAATGTCTAAAAATCCTGATTGGAGTATCACTATATATAGTTATAAATTATAAAAAAGAAGGCTTTAAAAAGACCGGTATCGGTGAGTGGTATCGGAAGATACTGCTTTCTGTGATCGGCGATCGGCCTCAAAAATCCTGATCGGAGCACCCCTAATTATAACATATAATATTATCCAAAGCATCCTAAGATACACCTCATGAAATTGGCTGATTTATAAGAGAGTTGTCACATATACTGGATATCACATATATGGATATTACAACTGCAAAACGGGCAGAAAAATAAAAATAAGAGATGCACGGGGAAAAAAAAACAAAGACGGAAGCGAGTATGTTTTGGCACTGAGCAGCAAACCCAGACCTGCTTTTTAACATGAGCTGAGTGTTTTTACTGCAACAGTCCACACACACACACACACACTCACACACACAGCGAGTGCATGGCACGCAGCCAGAGCTGGCCGTCTGAATGAACCCAATACCCTGCTCGGGGTCACATGATCTGCGGAGCCTGAGGCCCTTCGCTCGCCGTCCCACCCTGATTAAAGTCATTCACGATTCTGCTAGCGTCTGTAAACTCAGACTCCATTCAATGCAAATGAGAGACATGCAGTCAGGCGGTTATACGATGAGGATATGAGTGGACAAAACATCATTTACAGACTCATATAAAACACTACAGCACAGACTCGTGCTTCTGTTTTCAAGCCCACGTTTAATATTCTGCTCGAGTTTACAGTGTAAAGTTTCCAGGAGCGAGCAGAAGTGCGATCAGACTGAAACAAGCAGGCAAGGACAGTCATATGATGTGATTCTGCGTCAGACTGATTCCAGCGGCTCCAACTCATCTGCGCTGCGACCGCTGACGCGCACAATACGCCTGACTGTGTCCGAGCGAGCTTCTGCATTCTTGACATTCTGCATTCTGTTACTGGTGGCACATTTGCGTCACCGGGACCCGAAGGAACTCAGAGACGTCTCGCAGAAGAATGTAAAACATTCCCTCAGCATCTTCATCCCTCATCCGCCCACAGGTCACATGACGAGGAGAGACTCCTCACTAACGGCTCATGACTAGTGTTCGCATGAGAAGAGGTCTAGGCCTCAGTTTGACGTGACTGTTATAAATGTACAGAAATTATACAGTACCAGTCAAAAGTTTGGACACACTTGACTGATTATAAAAAACTTTTGATCTATCTATCTATCATACATCAAAAATTTAGATTTTAAAATTTTAGATTTAAAATATCCTTATGCCTATTTAATCTTTAAATAGTACATCAAAAATTATTTTAGATATGTTTACATAAAAATAAACAAGTATTTATGTACTATTTAAATATTTTATATATAGAGATAAACTATCTATAATACATCTATTTAATATAGCTTTCTATTTGTTTCATCTGTAAATAGTACAACAAAAATGAATAATAAAAACGTTCATTTTTTAGAAGTCATTTTATGTATATTATATTTTATGTATATTATGTATATTATATGTATATGTATTTTAT